TTTTTTTTTTCCAATCCAAAAAACCATTAGTCAATTCGGCGTTCATTCTTATAGTATTATAATCTATAATGATAATTGTCCTTACTAATCATGACAAAATTTGCTATATATTCACAGTTAAACTTTGCTGTTGTAGTGCTCCACCTTATAATCATTTGCCTGCCAGCACAATAGCTCCATAAAGAAGGGTGGCAAGGACCATGCTGTGTCTACTGTAGTCCGTCATAAAGTTAATCTTCAGTATTTCTAGACATTTTGTGAATCACAGATTCTCTCTCCTTTTTGAACAGGGAGCAAAACACCCAGTATCCAACACTAGTCCAGCCTGTCTTATTCATCCTCTCCATCACCTGGAAATAGACCTTAGTCATATCTTTTCTGGTGTCCCTTCCCACAGTCACCCAAAGATAGACATGCCGTTAACTCTTGCAGTCTCTTTGCTGAACTAGTTTCCTTTTGCTTCATCTCATTCACAGTCTGCTCCAACTTCTTCTGATGCTTCCTCTACAAAGAAAGAGAAAAAAAAATCAGAAGGCCTTAGTCTTATTGCTGGGAAACATTCCTCCCACCTCAGCAGACATCAGGAAGGGGCTGCTGAGCTACCGAGCAGGCAGGATGCAGAGGAAGAGACAGGTCTTCATTGCTGAGAGAAACCAGGATGACTGCATTACAGAAGGCTTGGTTACAGCCATACCACCTTGATCATGCCCACGGCCATCATTTCAGATGGCTTTCCTCCACTTTTTAAAAAATCATTTTATAGGGGGCTCATACAGCTCTTACCACAATCCATACATATATAAATATATACATCGTATCAAGCACATTTGTACATATAATGTCATCATCATCGTTTTCAAAACATTTTCTTTCTACTTGAGCCCTTGGTAACAGCTCATTTTTTTCCTCCTCCCTCATGAACCCTTGATAGTTTATAAATTATTATTACTTTTTCATGTCTTACACTGACCGATGTCTCCCTTCACTCACTTTTCTATTTTCCATTCCCCTGGGAGGGGGTTATAGTAGATCACTGTAATCGGATCCCCCTTCCTCCCCTACCTTCCCCTTGCCCTCCTGGTATCACTACTCTCATTACTGGTCCTGAGGGGTTGATCTGTCCTGGATTCCCTGTGTCTCCAGCTCTGATTCAGACAGCTTTCTCTGAACCAGTGATATACTTCTAAATATAAAGAAACGACACTGTATAGATTTCCATGTTTGTACCTCAAAACATTTTCTTCCATAATTCTACCTGATCAGTTAAGTTGAGAAACAGCTGGTCATTTTCCTTTTTCAGATGTTCCAACTGCTCTGTCTTATCTTGATCTCCCTGAATAAGCTTCTCCATTTCTTTCTCTTTAGTTGATAGCTGGGCCTAAAGGGAAGAAAACAGTGACTTGACCAAGATGTTAGAAGGGGACAAGAACAATGCTTTTTCAAATGTACTGCAACAAAAAGATCTGTTTTGATGGCCAAATATTCTTTAGAACTACTTTATTTTTTAACTTTATGAAACCCCAAGATCTTATACCTGAAGGATCTAAGACTCAACTGAATAAATTCTGAATCACTCCTTGAAAGTCTCTCTTTAAGGCAGAGCTTCCTAAAAGTTCTGCTGCTATCTCTATTTTACTTTTAAATAAGATTTTCTTGGAAGATTCATAGCTAACAGTAGTATGTTTGAAAACCAATGGTCTTCATCCTGAGGGTTTATGATACAGTTAGACAAACAGTGCCATTCCTTATGGATCTTAACTACTTAAAGAAACAAAGGGAGAATGTTTAGCTCAAAAGCAGAAAGCACACAACCTGAAGCTTCAGGCTTATGCTTTGAAAGGCACACCATTTGGGACTTGCTATAATGAAGTGTGGCAGTTGGCAAGGCTAAGAAAGGCGTTAGCAAAGGTATGGCATTACTTGCCTGAAGCTGATCTACTCTGATTCCCATCTTCTCATTTTCTGAACAGATCTTCTGGTTTTGTTCTCTGAGTCTGTGGAGGTGGAGATGACCATGTGAAACAAACGCTGGACCCTGGGATCCTGGCCATTGAATCCAGAGAAGTAGCAGTGGTTGTTTCCCCTGCCCAGCTGCCTCTGGTCTTAAGTGATTTAAGGCTGGCTTGGCTCTAATCCCGCAGAATTATTTTTAAATCCCCAAGTCTCTTCTATAGGACCCCTGTGGCCCAGAGGTTAAATGCTTGGCTAACCAAAAGGTCAGTAGTTCAAATCCATGAGCTGCTGTAGGAGAGAGAGAGGAGTCTGCTTCTGTAACTGTAAAGCCTTGGAAATCTCATGGGGCAGTCTACTTTGTCTTACAAGGTCACTCACGATGACTCTTCTACAGTTCTGTTTTGGCTCCTTGAGCTTAAAGGGCTGCAATTTTTAACCTGTAAAAGGTAATAATTAACTCAAGATAATTTCTCATTCCCATTCCGATACAAAGAATTCATAGGGGAGACCCACACCTCACTGCTATCAAGTCATTTCTGGCTCAGAGTAGACTGCCCCTGTGGGTTTCCAAGAAGGTAACTCTTTCTTGAAGTAGACAGCCTCATCACTGGCGTCCAACTACTGGTCTTGCAGTTAGCAACCCAATGTGTAACGCCCTGTGCTACCAGGCTCCAGGCCCTACGCCTATAATGGTCATAACAGAGCATTCCCTCATGGAATCTGGGAATCCAAACCCACTCTGCCTAGAGCAGTTCCTCTCAACCAGGAATTATGAGACACACTCACTGAAGCAGCTCTCTCTCCCAACAGTCCTTCTGCTCTTTCACTTTCTGCTCCAACGTCCTATTGATATTCTTTAGGGTCTCTAGCTCCTCCTGGAGTCCCTAAAAGAGAAGAGACTGAAAAGTCATCCAAGGGACAAATCAGCTCTACGGGTCTTTATTAGATTCTCAGGCAAATGTTCATAAAGTGCTGTGATCACAAGCAAAACAGAAAATCATGCTGGATAAAAAGCACCCTCCAATTCTGTCTCTGTGACCCAACTTCACATTTAACTAGCGGCCATACCTGCATTTTCTGGAGCTCAGTCTGAATGTCCGAGTTCCGCTTCTGGAGACTCACATAGCTTTCTTTCAGCTCCTGGTTTTCTTGATAAAGCTCCTTGTTACGCTGGTCAATCTCCTCCACCTCTCCCTGTGAGAGAGTATTGGATAATCAAGTCCCTCTGAAAGAAAATTCCCATAGACTGACTGGGATCATGGAAATCTGGCTGACTTCCTTTCACTGTGACATCTGTGTACCCCAAGTGCCAAGAGCTAAGGGTGTGAGATGTGTACACCTGTGTAAATGTAGCATTAAGGCTACTGTTACTACAAAAGACAGATAAGCAGGTATCAAGATCATAAGAAAACCAAAGTGGAAATGATGGAAAGAGGCAATACAAACTCTCTTGAAGACAGTATTGTCTCTCCTGTTTTGTTTAGCTGCTTGAAGCCACGCTAGGGTATCCCCATTCTTCACTGCATCCCCAGAGCCTAGCACAGCACTGCATGAGGAGGTGTCATATATTAGACAGGCTCTGGGTCAGAGTTGTGAGAGATTGATACCATAAGGTCAGCAGTTCAAAACGACCAGCCGCTCCAAGGGGGAAAGACGTGTCTTTCTACCCTCATAAAGAGTATGAGTCTCAGAAACTCACAGGGGCAGTTCTACTCCATCCTACAAGGTCGCTATGAGTCAGAATTAGCTCAATGGCAGCGAATAAGAATCCTCAACGATGCTGATTAAAATAATAATAATAAAGCTGAAAAATGTGTTTGGTGGTAAGAAGTACATGACAAAAATGTCAATGGAAAGTTGAGACTAACAAATTAGTGGGAGAGATCATTTACTGTTACTCTTATTAAGGTTCTAAAATTACTTCTAAATGAATACCACATACACTTTTCCCCAACACTATCTGATTCATATGACTTATTAATTCTACTGGGAGGAAAGGGACTGTGATGGGATGTTTACACACCTGAGTGGTGACCACCAGGATGTCGTCATCACTCTCTGGACGGAACTGGAAAGGAATACTTGCTCCCCGGACCACACCGTCCATATCCACATAGCAGAACTGGTAATACTCATCATCCTTGGGTAGGTAATAAGCTGAAAACACATTCTTTTTAATCTCAAATAAGCTCTATTCAGAGAAATGTAAATCTAGAGGTGATTATCTATCCCAGAAAACTCTGGTGCAAGGGGATCAATTCGCTTTATCTGCTGACTGTCTTTCAACACCTTTGATCCATTCTTTTTCTCACCTTTGAATTGGACTTCCTGCTGTTTCTCTGACCCTTTGTTGAGGTCAACAGGCAAAGTAACCCACATGAAGGTGTAATACTCACGAACCGTCTTCCATCCTACCTGCAAAGGCAAGAAGGTTCGCGTTCAGCACCTGAAAGGACTTGGGAAAATCTTATTTGGGCTAGCTCTTCTTAAAATGCTTTTTTAGTATATGTAAGAAATACAACAGAATGGGTTCATGTCAAGATTCACAACCCCATGGATCAAATCTTTTTTTTTTATTTATTTAAGACAATAATATATGGTAAAATATCTTTATATTTTCGGGCTTCAAAAAGCTTGAAATTTCTATTATCTTTTAATCTTATTTTTCCATAATAATTTGGAAGTCCCTTCATATAATTAAAAATTGGCATATAGTCCAAAATATCAGACTTAGAAATAAATGAAAAATAGTTACTCAACACCCAATACAATCACTCCAAAAGTTTTAACCAAGTCCGACATAAAACTGAGTGGTTGGGGAAAAGAAAAAGAGTTCTGGAATTCTGACAAATGGTATTCTTGGAATTTCTACACAGGAAACATTTCGGCCTGTACTCTCCACTAGTTTGTTCTCTACTATGTCCGGTTCAGCCTTGCCACTTACACCACATGGTTATAGCACTGCATTTTAAATCATTTTATTGGGGCTCATACAACTCTTATCACAAGCACCACATTTTAAAAATGCATTCTTTTGAATAACGTATGTATGAGGGCGGGGCGAAGGGAGAACAGGGAGTCTCAGCAATCTGGTGGTATAAAAGCCCCTTCTATGTATTGAATGCAGTAAATCACAAGACATAAGGACACAGCAAACATGCCTAAGAGCAGAAAGCTGGATAAGTGGAAAATCTTCTCACTAAATGTCAGACAACTCAAATTTAATCTGGAGGATGAGAGAGCATAGCAGGAAACAGAAGGGCAACCACTAGCTTCTGAAGCTGGCAAATGGGAGGCAAACTTAATATTTATTGGCATGTTTTGACCCTGCTTGAACTCAGTGGGAAGAAAAAGAACTAAAAATACATTCCATTTTTATATATGAAGGAATCAGAGCAGAGTTGAAAAGGTTACACTGAAACCTCATCAGAACATACTGGGCCATGTTTTAGAGTCTCATTAACACACACCCCATTGCTGTAAGCATCTCAGAGCCACTGCAGCCTGCGGTGGTCCAGGAAGCAGGAATTTTATGGAGTCCTCATTCACATCCTGGAGTTCCTTAATGCATTGTGACCACAATCTCATTGGGAAGGCTGCAGAAATTACTGCGGCCTTGGAACAAGGAAACAGCTTCCAGCTATCTGCCATTTCCAGTCGTGGCTGCTTCACTACCGAAGACTTTGGGTGAAAATGGCTCTCCTGATCCCTGTCTGCCTCTGTGGGCCTATTTCTACTCTTTGAGACCTTGAAAACACCTGAATACCCAGGTGAAGGAGAGCACTGGATTACACATTCATGTCAAACAAAGAGTGCTGATGCCTGTCCCCTTTCCACTCTATGACTGATGGGTGCTCTCTCTGTAGGGAGAAGATGTAGCATAGGCATGCATGCAAACAGACTAGCCATTTGCCTATAAGGTGCCAGGAACTACAGGCATTAAACCGAGTTAGTTCTGGCTCCTGGTGGCCCCCTAGAGCAGAGTAGAACTGCCCCTATGGGTTTCGGACTATAATTCTGGACGGGTGTAGAAAGCCTCCTCTTTCTCCTGTGGAGTGCCTGGTGGTTTCGAACTGCTGGCTTTATGGTGAGCAGCCCATCGTGTAACCACACCACCACCAGGATTCCTGATTTAGGCTCTAAGAAAGAAAACTGAGATGCAGGACAAAACTTTATAGTCACCTCTTTAACTCCCTAATTATTCAAAGGAATTCAGCTCAGTTATAGAGAAAAGTGGCCACAGCAACGGGCTCAGACAGAAGAACAAGTTGGGGGGTCGGGGTGGGGGTGCAGGACCAGATGGTGTTTCCTTCTGTTGTAGGTGGGGTTGCGAGGAGTCGGAACCGACTTGATGGCACCTCACAACAATATAAAGACCAGGCATAGGTGTGGGAGTCACACACACCGTCATACTTTTCTGAGGATGTTCCCTGTGTTCGTCTGTGAGCAAGAGATCATACCCACCCCACGGGGTTGCTGTGCTTTGAGGATTAGAAAACACAGGTTTGCACAGCACACCAAAAACCTCACCAAGGGCCTGACACAGAGTGTGCTCTCAAAAAGCAAAAAACACAACAACTTGTGTTCTCTCTTTAGTAGCTTAAAGCTTATTACCATATAAACTCAAGTATAAGCTGACCCAAATATCAGCCGAGGCACCTAATTTTACCACAAAACCTATGTAAACAATGTGCTGGAAACTCAGCTTATACTAGAGTATATATGGTACATCCTTCAGACTTCAGGTTAGGTGTTCCAGTTAATAGTGTTATAGTGGATGAACACTAGTGATCCTTCAAATGAACCACCATTTATTTCTTCATTTGGGTATAGGCAAGCTGAATACATGAATCGTTTATATCAAATAGATGAATCAAATATATATACATTTAAAATGCCTTTACACATCTATGTTTTTAAAAGCACAGGATCTTCATTTGGTTTATGATAGTCTTGCCTGGCAGTTGCTAAGTGCTTTGGGAAAACAGTCAGCCTCAGTAAAATAGAATAAACACATGTTGCAAGAAATAATAATGAGTTATAAGGTTACATTTCAAAACCTAGTAATTTTTTAAGCATTTAAAAAGATACCATATAGATCCATATGTGACCTCCTCCCTGGGGGATG